TCTCTGATAAATATCCAGGTCGAGGTGGGCCGGCGGATTAAAACTTGAGGATGTCTCAGGCGAAACGCTTGTTTTTCCCGGAAAGGGCGTAGGCCCAGGGTTCTCTTTTAGTATTGTTACCCCCGGTTTCGGCCTGAAGGAGGCCGGCGGAATTGTTTTGCGATGAATGACGAGTTTGAGGGAGGCCGGCGGAATTATGTTTGAGGATGTCTCGAGCGAAACGCTTGTGTTGCAGAATCAGTTGAGGATGTTTCGAGCGAAACGCTTGTTTTGTGTTATAGATCGTCCTCTCTTGGGGGCCAGAATTCAGAGGATCTCAAGTGAATGCTTGCTTTCACGTGCCCAGGTCTTGAGGATGTCTCGAGCGAGACGCTTGGTTTCACGCCTCCAGGTTGCCCATGCAGAGGTCTAGCGCCAGGATTTGTTGAGGATGTCTCGAGCGCGACGCTTGGTTTCACGCGTCCTCGTCGCCCAGGCGGATGTCTAGCATGAGGATGTGTTGAGGAAGTCTCGATCGAGATGCTTGTTTGTACGTGTCCAGGTTGCCCAGGCGGATGCCTAGCATGAGGATGTGTTGAGAATGTCTCGAGAGATACGCTTGTTTTCATGTGTCCAGGTCGCCCAGGCGGATGTCTAACCTGAAGATGTGTTGAGGATGTCTCGAGCGAGACGTTTGCTTTCACGTGTACAGGTCGCCAAGGCGGATGTCTAGAATGAGGAGGTGTTGAAACCGTCTCGAGCGAAACGCTTGTTTTCACGTGCCCAGTTCGCCCAGGCGGATGTCCAGCATGATAATGTGTTGAGGATGTGTTGAGCGAAACGTTTGTTTTCACGTGTCCGGGTCGCTCAGGCGGATGTCTAGCATGAGGATGTCTCAAGCGAAACGTTTGTCCCAGCACGTTCCGTAGCGCGTCCCTTTGGCACGTCCCGCGGTGCGTCCCCATGGCACGTCCCCTAGCACGTCGCTTGGCGCTTCCCTTGAGACGTTCCGCGGCGCGTCCTCCTGGCATGCCCCCTGTCAATTAGCTCTGGGGCCGGTACTATGTGTTCAGGCAGCTCGAGCTTAAGATCCAGATCAGTTCGGTCAGGACTCGGGTGCAAAGGAGGACTCGATCCACAACGCTATAGAGCACAATCGCGGCATGGCACATCGCAATTCAGCACGGTGCACCACAGCACAGACTTGGGCACGGTACATCAAGATCGATACACTCAGTATTGCAACCTGGCACGTTCCTTGGCACGTCCCGTGGGGCGTCCCTTGGCGAGTCCCCCTGGCACGTCGCGTGGCGCGTCCCTTGGCACATCCCGTGGCACATCCATTGGCACGTTCCGTAGCGCGTCCTCTTGGCACGTCCCGCGGCGCGACCCCATGGCACGTCCCCTGGCACGTCGCCTGGCGCTTCCCTTTGGACGTTTCGCGGCGCGTCCTCCTGGCTGTCAATTAGCTCTGGGGCGTCTACTATGTGTTCAGGCAGCTCGAGCTTAAGATCCAGATCAGTTCGGTCAGGACTCGGATGCAAAGGAGGACTCGATCCATAACGCTATAGATCACAATGGCGGCATGGCACATCGCAATTCAGCACGGTCTAGCACAGCACAGCCCTCGGCACGGTACATCAAGATCGATACATTCAGCATTGCATTTGCCCGTCACCCAATCAGGTGTCTTTGAAAACGTTGCCATGCGTTACATTTCTATATTCCTTTCCGGGTTCGTGTTTCAATCATGTTTGTCAGCATTTCCAGCTGGGGAGGGCCTTGGCAGGGGGGGGGCTTCGAAGCTATCTCCCCCTCTCTCGTTTTGCAATCCCTTCTGCGTTGGGTTCTCGCTTTGAATCAAGCAGTGCGCGTGTCTCCTCCTTCCTTCCGCCTCCCTCCTCATCACTACCCTCCCGCCTCTCATCTCCTCCTCTCCAGTCCAGCCTCTCAGCATGCCTCTCCTGTCCTGCCTGCCAGCCTGACGTCGACGTCGCTGCGGGCCTGCGAAACTGTCGCCACTTCCGAGGGCTGCTGGGGGGTCCAGCGGAGTGGTGTCCCACGCGGACTCAGATCCATCCCTGGGGTGCTGCGATCTGCGAGGCTGCCGTCACTTTCGAAGGCTGCCGGGGGGTCCAGCGGAGTGGTGCCCCACGCAGGCCTAGATTCGACTTCGCCATCTCTGGGGGGCTGCGATTTGCGAAGCTTTCGCCATTTTCGAGGGCTGCTGGGGGGCCAGCAGAGTGGCCCTGGGGGGCTGCGATCTGCGAGGCTGCCGTCACTTTCGAAGGCTGCTGGGGGGTCCAGCGGAGTGGTGTCCCACGCAGACCTACATTCGCCATCCCTGGCCTCGCCATCCGTGGAGGGCTGTGATCTGGAAGCTGTCGCTACTTTCGGGGGCTGCTGGGGGTTCCAGCGGAGTGGTGTCCCACGCGGACCTGCATTAGACCTCGCCATCCCTGAGGGTTGCGATCTGCGAAACCATCGTTACCTGCGAGGGCTGCGGGGGGGGCTAGCGGAGTGATGTCACACGCAGGCCTAGATTCGACTTCGCCATCTCTGGGGGGCTGCGATTTGCGAAGCTTTCGCCATTTTCGAGGGCTGCTGGGGGGGCCAGCAGAGTGGCCCTGGGGGGCTGCGATCTGCGAGGCTGCCGTCACTTTCGAAGGCTGCTGGGGGGTCCAGCGGAGTGGTGTCCCACGCAGACCTACATTCGCCATCCCTGGCCTCGCCATCCGTGGAGGGCTGTGATCTGGAAGCTGTCGCTACTTTCGGGGGCTGCTGGGGGTTCCAGCGGAGTGGTGTCCCACGCGGACCTGCATTAGACCTCGCCATCCCTGAGGGTTGCGATCTGCGAAACCATCGTTACCTGCGAGGGCTGCGGGGGGGGCTAGCGGAGTGATGTCCCACGCGGACTTCAATCAGGTCTCGCCATCCCTGGGGGGCTGCGATCTGCGAACCCGTCGCCATTTTGGAGGTCTGCTGGGGGGTCAGCGGAGTGGTGTCCCACATGGACATCAATTAGACCTTGCCATCCCTCGGTGGCTGTGATCTGCGAAACTCTTGCCGCTTTCGAAGGCTGCTGGGGGTTCCAGCGGAGTGGTGTCCCACGCGGGCCTAAATTCGACTTCGCCATCCCTGGGTAATTAGCTGCGATCTGCGAAACTGTCGCTACTTTCGGGGGCTGCTGAGGGGCCAGCGGGGTGGTGTCCCACGCGGACCTAAAGTAGACCTCGCCGTACTCTCGCCACTTTCGAGGGTTGCGGGGGGTCGGGAGCGCGAACACAGCGTAATTTGGGAGGACGTACGGCCCCGGGGACGCGCACATTGCGGAACTTACGTAGGGTTACATGGCCTCGAGGGCGCGAATATGGCGTACACTGCGAGGGGTTATGGCTTCGGGGGCGCTGTCCCAGGACCCCCCAGAAATTCCGAGAGCCACCCCCCAGGTGAAGGTAGCCAGGGCCCTTCTCGGCTCCCCCCCTCGCGCGGGTTTCAACAATTCATTGTTGGAAGCCGAACACAGACTTGTATCATCGGAGATTGGAAGCTGGAGCTGGAGCAGGGAGCAGCAAGCCTAGTCCTCGGAGCCTGATGGCCCCGCAAGGGGGCCGGCGGATCATGCTGATGATGATGCTGATGATGATGATGATGATGCTGATGATGATGATGATGATGATGATGATGATGGTGATGATGATGGTGATGATGATGACGATGCTGATGCTGATGCTGATGATGATGGTGTTGCTGATGGTGACGATGATGCTGATGATGATGGTGATGATGGTGATGATGCTGATGCTGATGCTGATGCTGATGCTGATGATGATGATGATGATGATGATGATGATGATGATGATGATGATGATGATGATGATGATGATGATGATGATGATGATGATGATGATGATGATGATGATGATATGCTGATGGATGGTGACGATGATGATGACGACGAGGATGACGATGATGATGCTGATGATGATGCTGCTGATGCTACTGCCGATGATGATGCGGATGATTATTTTGATGAGGACGATGATGAGGATGAGGATGAGGATGATGATTAGCATGAGGATGAGGATTATCTTGATGTTGATGCTGCTGCTGCTCATGATGATGATGGTGACGATGATGATGATGCTGATGCTGATGATGATGATGATGATGATGATGATGATGATGTTGTAGGTGATGATGATGTTGATGGTGATGCTGATGACGCTGATGATGATTATCAGGATGATAATGACGATGCTCATGATCATGATTATGATGATGCTGCTGCTGATGATGATGATGACGATGATGCTGATGCTGATGCTGATGCTGATGATGATGATGATGATGATGATGATGATGATGATGATGATGATGATGATGATGATGATGATGATGATGATGGTTAATAGTATTGTTATTATTACTATTGCTGGCGTAATACCACTTATATTATTAATTATTAGTATGATCATCAGGATCAGGATGAGGATTATGATGATCATAAGGATTATAATGAGGATGAGGATGCTGAGGTTGATGAGGATGTTGATGGTGATAGCGATGGTGTGATGGCGATGGTGATGGTGGTCATAGTGATGGTGCTGGTGATGGTGATGATGAGGAGGAGCAGGACTGTGATGGAGAATGATGGAGAGGAGCCCTAGGAAAACGAGGACGGGGGTGGAGCAAGAACGACGTATCGGCTTGCTATGAGGAGATTGGGCAGAGGGATATGCAGAGGTATGGTGGGAACTGGGAGCGAGGGAGTACAGAAGGAAGGGATGATGATGGGGGCACGAGGGACTGGAGAGTCATGAAGGAACGGAGCGAGGGAGGCAGGGGATACGGGAGGAGCACTTGGCTGGCGAGGGGCATGGGGGGGGGGCGGGGGTTGGAGTGGATGGGGGGGGGGCCGAGAGCGACCCGGGAAAGCGGGGGCGCGGCTGCGGGGGGAGGACGACGTGGCAGCGGCGAGCGACGAGCGAGGGCGAGCCTGGAGCGGCCAGCGCTCGCAGGCGGCCCCCGGCTGGCACTGAGAGGCGGCCCCCCCCCCGCAGAAAACTGCGGACCGCGAACCGCCCGCCGCGGGGTGCGCCGCAGTTGTTGGGCCAACGCCGAGCGGACCGGGCTACCTGGCCGCTCCTCCCTGTCACTTTTTTTCGCTTCTCTGTCGGCACGGGCGACACGGGTACAGTGGGGGCGCAGATCAAGGAACCAGTTGCTTTTCGTCAGGCTACCCTGGGTTTTATTCGCTCCGCGCGCTGCGTGGTGACCTCCAGCGGCCGTCAAAGAGGCTGCTGCGTTCAGGGTGCTCTGGGTTTTCCATCCGGTGCACTTCGCGCGCGGATTTGCAGGGTTGGGTTTCTGGCGAGGGTTTCTTGCGGCCGCGCCCGCACTGTTCTTTGGTGGCAAATCGTAGGAACCTGCTATACCCTCTGAATTCCGTCTCTAGCGTCGATTGGCGTCGACAAGCGTCTGGAATCGATGAGATAGCGCCGATTTAGCGTCGGCTAGCGTGGATTTAGCGCCGATTTAGCGTCGGCTAGCGTCGATTAGCATCGATTTAGCACTGATTAGTGTCGATTTAGTGTCAACTAGCAAGGTCCGACATGATGGTATGGGAGGCTCCCATGAGTTGCCACCGAAGGGTACTGCAAAAATGGGTACGATGCAGAACAGCAGTTTCTGTTCATATTGAGTGAGCAGGACTCGCTGTCCACGCCGCCGCGTACGTTGTCCGTTTGAGGCAGAAGGCCGTCTGCCCGAAAAGCGGCCGCTGTCGGTTTTGGACAACATTCGTTGTAGGGCATCGTGCTCATTTTTTCCGTACCCAGTCGGGCGTCTAAACTCTTCCTCTCTTCTCGTTTCCCGCCCCTCTCTCTGGAGGGAGAAATTGGGCACAGACACAAATAAGCGTCGACTCCAAGGGAACCCTTTGGGAAAGTATGGGAAGCGGAGGGGAAGACGAAAACACAGAAAGTGTCGGGAATCCTGGGGTTTGTGTCTATTGATGTGTGTGTGTGTGTGGGTGTGTGTGTGTGGGTGTGTGTGTGTGTGTTGTGCCGCTCGGCACCAGCTTCAGCCATGTCCAGCTCAGTGCTGACCAGTGCCGGCCTTGTGCCTGCATGCGGCGCAGCGCCTGCAGCTGGGGCTGATCAGTCGTGGCAGTCGCCTTCCGTCTCCTCGCGCGCGCCTCGCAGGCCCGCAGGCCTCGGCGCATTGGCTCATCCCTGGACTGTGCTCGGTCCGGGTTGGGCTCTGCTGCGTTTTGTCTTCACCACCAGCTGCAGCTCCAGGCGGCTGCCCCCCCCCCTCAGCTCCAGCTCGGTGCAGCTCAGTGCAGCCTGTGCTGGCGCTGCCCCCTCCCCAGCGCTCCCCCCGCCGCAGCCAGCAGCTCTGAGTGGCCCGGCTTCCTCTTGTCCCTTCGCGCCGGGGCTCCTCCTTCTCTTTCTGTGCGTTGCGGCCTTAATTTGCATATAGCGTGTCCCCTGTTGCCAATCCGCCGGAGCAGTCGCCCTCTGCCCAGCCGCCGACGCAAAACAAGTGAGTGTGTGTGTGTGTGTGTGTGTCCCTGGGCGCCTGTATTCGCGCCCGTCTCCCCGCACTCCCCTTCGTGCCATCGTCTGCCTCCCCCCCATCTTGATCGGATTTCCAGGGGCATGTGGCCCGAGGTTTCGAATGCGAGCGAGAAGCGTACAGCCAAGAGGCTGAAACAAGGATCAGCTTGGGCTCGGGAGGGGTTCGATGCTCTTCAGGCCCCTCCATGGGTGTTTCTCTAGCGCTCCGCGTGCACGCCAGCGCTTGTGGAGCCCAGTGGGGCCTCGTTCCCTGCGTAGCCCTCTTGATTTCAGCAGCCTGACGGTACTCGTGGCCGTCCTGTGTAATTCGCACGTGTTGGGAGGTCTGGTAATGTAAGACCTTGTCTTGTAGTCGCGGAGGAGGAGGAGGAGGACCAGTTTAAACCCAAGAGTCATCAACGATGTTGGCCTCAACCCTCCCTCCGAGCTTCCTCTTCATAGGCCCCTACACGGTTCATTTCCATTGAAGGAACTGCCTCCTTAGAAGACAGCCGTTAACAGACCCTGAAGCATGCCAAAACTTTGTTCTCGGCATTTCAACGCCACGGATTAACCTGACTGTTGCGTTTTGTGAATCGTGAATCGTGCCAGAACACCATTCCTGGGAATTCGACACAGCGAGCCAACATAATTGTTGCACCCGCATAATCCTGAATCCTTTCTGGCACTTTGATGATGGGCACCGTGGAAATCTAGCAAATATCTAAAACGAATGTGCGCCGCGTTACGGCGAAAGCCTCATTTTGAAAGGAACAGCCCTCAATTCGTGAAGTTCCTGAAAATATGTATAGCGAGTGCGCGCCGCGCTACGGCGAGAGCCACATTTTGAAAAGGAACCGCCTTCAATCCGTGAAATTCTTGTTTTTTTAACGAATGTGCGCCGCGCTGCGGCGAGAACCACATTTTGAAACGGAACCGCCTTCATTCCTTGAAACTCTTGCGAATATGTAAAACGAATGTGCGCCGCGCTAAGGCCAGAGCCAAATTTTGAAAACCACCCTCGGAAGGGAACAAAAACACACAGACACAATGAATCGTCGATTCCCAAGAAAATATGGGAAAATATGGGAAGTGGGGGGATGACAAAAATCCAGAAAATATAGGAAAATATTGGGAATCCGGTTATTCAATCGCTTCGCTCATTCCGCCGGCCCTGGAGCCCTCTTTAGGGCCTCTTGGGGGCCTCTTGGGGACCTCTTGGGAGTCTCTTGGGGCTCCTTGGCGTTGTCTTGGGGGCACCCAGGCCGTCTTGGGGGGCTCTTGGGGGCCTCTTGGGGCGGGAGGGGGGGTAGTCGATTGCGGCTTCCCCCTCGGAGGCCACGATCCTCGTGAGGGGTGTCGAAAAATTGCCTTCCCCTCCTTAGCTTTCTGGGGGACCTGGCCGGGGATCGCCTGGGGATCCACCGGGAATCGGCCGGGGTACTTTTCGTCTGGGGACCCCCAGGGGCCGCCACCGCCTCAGCAGCGCCCGGTGCCCCCGCGGAGCAGGCGCTGGACGCCCCACAGGGGGAGGGAGGAGTGGCCAGAAGGATTTCGAGGCCGAGGCGACAGGCCGCGACCTGCAACCGCGCCCGGTACGCGACCGAGCGCCCCGCCTGTAATCCCGAGGCTGGGCCGCCCGGCAGCCCGCAGGGACCCCGACCTCGGCGCTGAGGCGGGCGCGGGCCCATGGTTAGACCGTTACGGGAGATTTTAGCACGCCTCTGGCCCGTTGGGGTGGCGAATCTGTGTGTATTTATTTGTGTGTCCCAGGGCCGCCAGGGCCCCTTCACACCCGCCCTCAATCCGTGAAGCTCGTAGAATATCTTAAAACGAGTGTGCGCGGCGCTAAGGCGAGAGCCACATTATGAAAAGGAACTGCCTTCAATCCGTGAAGCTCTTGCAAATATTTGCAATGATTGTGCGCCGCGCTAAGGCGACGGCCACATTTTGAAAACGACCCGCCCTCAATCCGTGAAGCTCCTGCTGTTTTAAAGCGAATGTGCGCCGCGCTAGGGTGAGAGCCACGTTTTGAAGACGACCCGCCCTCTATCTGTTAAGCTGTTGCCAAATTTTAAGCTTCAGAGTCATCAGTGGTGAAGAAATCTCAGGCTAAACGCCCGGCCCGCCCAAAAAACTGGCCTCGGGGTGCGACAGGGGTAAGTTGTTTATCAGGAAAAGAATGGAGTAGGAGGAGGAGGAGGAAGAGGAAGAGGAGGAGGAGAAGGAGGAGGAGGAGGAGGAGGAGGAGGAGCAGGAGGAGCAGGAGGAAAGATACGCCCGCGTCGAGCCCCGACGATTGGCGCCGGTGCCGCCGCCGTTTCGATGGGTGGGCGGTGTCGTCTGCGTACGGGCCCGCCAGCCACGAATATTCGGTTTGGTTTGTTGGGTCGTTAGACGCTTTGGCCAGCGTGGCCAGCCCTCTCCCTGGGGCGGTGGTGGGCGACTTGAAGTGGAAAGCGGGGTACAACGACATCGCCGAGGCTCCCTGGGCGGTTGCGGACACCCCCCCGGCCACGGCTGCCTTCACGTCCCCCTCGCGCCTCGTCGGCCTGGATTGCTCGGCGGAGGTGGTGGACTCGTCCCCCCTGCCGGCCCTCCCCCTCCTTTCCGGGGTGGTGTACGACGTTGACTTCCTTCCCCCCTAGCCGAGGCAGGCGCTCCGCCTCAAGAGACAGGCCCGTTACGAGTGGGTCCGCGCGCCCTCGCAGGACGAAGCGGCGCTGCTTGCCGCGGCAGCCGGCGACTGCGGGTGGCCACTCGCCTGCCTGGCTCTTCCTCCCACTCTTCCGATTGTGTAGCCGAGGCGCTGGCGCGGTGGCCCCCGGCGCGCTGTGGCAGCGGTGAAGGCGGTCGCCGCCTTGGGCGTGGCCACCGCCACGCGGTCGGCCGAGCGATCGAAGGGCGTTTCGACTGAGACGCGGCCCGTGGCTCCTAGTGGCCCCTCGCGGCCCGAGGCCACGATCCGCGAACGGCGCCTATTCCAGCTCCACGAGCTCGTCGTGGCGGCTGGGAGGGCGAGCCCCGCGGGCGCCGCGTCGCCCTTGCCGCCCCCAGTCGCTCGCAGGTGGGCCACCGCATGCCGCGATGGGCTCGCCCAGGGTCTGCCCCCTCCCGCCGGCGAGGCGGCCCAGGCTGTGTCCCGGGCGCTCGCGGTTGAAGCTGAGGTTCGGGGGCGGAAAAGAGGGGGGGTGACGCTCAGGGGGGGGATACCATGGCGGGGGCCATGACATTTCCCCAGACTTCATGGCGCCCCTTCTCATTTCACTGCGTCCCTGGCCCCCCCCGCTGGGCCGCGCACGTGCCGCCGGTCATGATTTGCACCCCCCCCTCTCGGACAGCCCCCTCTTGGCCCCTCCCGAGCGTTGTTTCAAGCAGCAGCTGGGGCAAAGGCACCCTGCTGCGTTAATTTCTGTGGAGGCGGAGGAGGAGGCGGAGGAGGAGGAGGAGGAGGAGGGGGAGGAGGAGGAGGAGCAGGA